TGCACTTCTCTACGTGTTTGATCAATGGCTGCCAGGCCTTATAACATCTATCAGTAGATCCCTTCAGAGTGGACCGGGTTTTCTCCAGACGCAAAAACTGCAACAGGTCTCTAATCCAGTGAGTATGGGTGGGTGGGGATTCATCCTTCCATTTAAGAAGAATTAGTCGTCGAGCTATCAACGATGCAAAAGCAATGGCATTTCATTTATCTTTTGGAGCTTCTCTAGCAACAACTCCAAACACTGCTGTCAGCGGAGACTGATTGAGAGGAATCTCAAACACTTCTGAGAGAGTTTTCAAAGCAAAGCCGGGGACAAGTCCAAAAAGTGTGAATAAGATTCCCTACTTGATTCTTGCACCTAGCTCACATGGGGCTCACATTAGAATGAAACTTAGCTCATTTCGCTTTAGTATAGTGTCGACGATGAAGAATTTTAAACCGTAGGAGTCCATGCCGTGTGCAGATAGAGGAGGAGTGCACTTTGTTTAGAATTGAATCCCATGCGTCCTCATCCAATTGTAATTGTAAGTCCTCTTCCCATAGGCCTTTAATTATAAGGAGGGGCAGTCAAGTTGAGAAATGTTCTTATATATTTGAGCAACCACAAGACACACACACACACACGCACACACACACACACACACACACACACACACACACACACACACACACACACACACACACACACACACACACACACACACACACACACACACACACACCCCTCCCGAGTGGGTTAACATCCAAAATATGGTCTAATATTGTTTTATCTGGCGGATAAGGGAAATTAACTAGATTAGTTCGAGCAAAGTTTCTAACCTGCAAATATCTAACAAATGGGTTGTTAGTAAGGTTATATTTCTGTTTCAGCTTTCAGCTTCAGTGAATGAGGCAAAAGTGCCATCAATATATACATCTCCAAAAGATTTAATACCTTTTGTCTTCCACATTTTAAAAGCAAGGTCCTGCAGTGATGGGGGAAAAGAATGATTTTGATCAATAGGTGCTGAAAGGGGCATTAATACAAGTCCACATTTGTTCCTAAACTGTACCCAGATCCTAAGGGAATGTCTAAATGTGACTGCAGACCCAATGCACATTTTGTTAACTGCACAGGTCGTGCTGAAGAGCGGTCTAACTTTGGGTTTAGAACACAATTCATGTCTCCCCCCACTATCAATTGGTGACCCTCAGCAACAGGCATATTTAAGAATAGCTCATTAAAAAACATATAATCATCACAGTTCGGTGCGTAAACATAAAAGCGCTTATTTCCACACACTTTTACGCTTGTTATTGACCTATTTTCTGCATTTTAGCTCAACGAGGAGCCTCTAACGATGAACCAGGAATCCCCCTCTGAGGAGTTGGTGCCGCTGAAGAAGCTGCGGACACGCATTTCAGACAAACCCAACTATTCTCTCAATCTGTGGAGTATCATGAAGAACTGTATCGGCAAAGAGCTGTCCAAAATGTAAGAGGTTACTCCAGATCAGATGTCACTTACAGGAATTATGTTTGTTGGCATGAACAGAAAGGACTCCACCTTTTCTTTTTCAATTCTTTGTTGCAAGAATGCATTCAGGCAAACAAGCTAACAGGTGTGTTTTAAGATCGCACTGATTGACTTCTGGCACCAAAACATTAATGTGATGCTAGGTCAATCAAAAACACCGATCGTCTTCAGTTCCTGTTGGACAACATTCTGCCAGAGCCATCCAAGTTTCAAATGGCTCTATTGACAGATTAATGGGACCAGTGGTGAACAACTTGTGAAAAAAAGCCTATGAAAAATGTCAACATGCAAACCTTTTAAATAAAACATTTATCTTCAAAAATAAATCAAACCAAACAGCCAGGATTGACCTGCAGGAGGTCAAAGCCTTTTTGAAAGTCCTCCGAACACACAGCTCTTCTGAGTCTGTCCCTGAAGTCCTTCAGCCTTTGTTGTGCTTCCTCACTCATGTTGTTGCTGAGGTCATGGGAACAAAGCTGCTTCTCACTGATAAGACAAGATGGTATAAAGAAGTGATATATGTAATATTACAAATGTGAATCCATCAGGGGTTTTACACTTGAATGGAAATTGTATTAGCATTCTCCTCATGTTTCCAGCTTACCTCCAGCCTTACTCGGGGCCACATTTATATTTTTCATTGGCTCTTTCAAGGGAAACCGAGAGTACGGCTGCGAGGGCGTGGACGGTCGCCTGTGTCATGAAGGGATTAAAGCCCCACGTTTAACAGTTAGAGTAACATTTAGACATCCAATAAAGGTTGTGCCATTCTGCAGGTGACAACTATGCCAGACCAATTGGCATCAACATTCTACTGGATATTGACCATCAGTGCAACATATGTCATTTGATATAATGTGTAGTCGACAAATAACAAATAAAGAAATAACACATGTATCCATAAAGTGTGAGGCATTAGACCTTAAGGAAACTTGGAGACCATTCAACATTCAAATGATGAAGTATAAAATGATCATATAGAGTTATAGATGGACTTACCTCCATGTGTTACAAGCGCCCTCTGGTGGCTCTGAGCCATCAGGCCAGGGTACGACTGGAAAGGGTCCAAGTCCAGTTTGTTGAGCTCTGGGCATGCTCCATCTGGGAATGTTGTGTTGTTTGGCTATAGGTGAACACAATATAATACAATTGAAGTGAGTTTATTATTATATTGGAAATAGTTAACTCCTTAAACAAGCGGCAATGGACTGGCCTGTATAATCCTATGGGATGAAGCTGGTCATACTTCCTCACTTTCAGAAGGTTTAAATGATTAACAGTTCATTACAATATTAAGTTTAGATTGTGTGAACCCAGTGGGAGAGATGACAGAGTTGTTCTGGAAATACTTTCCAATATCTACAAGTCAGATGTGGCTCTTTACCACCATCTAGCGGCAGCAGTCAAAAACTACAACTACGTCATTCCCTCCATGTTTTTCAGATCTAAATAGGAATTTCAGTTTTGAATAATAACCTTCTGTAAGCTTAATGCATACTCTATAGACATATCTAAAGTGTAAGGTCCTAGCAATCACTAAAAGGCTATATTTACTCTAACCAAACAATACATTTTACACACATTATGTTTGGATCCTGAGTAACTCAACAACTAGCTTACAAGACACTATTGTGAAATCACCATACAAAACACGAAAGGCATTATAAGTATCCTCCTGGGACCCAGCCCATTGAAAATGTCCACTGTAGTGTTTGTTAACATGCATCTCCTTTTACTATTTTGAGCTACTCTATCAATCCCTGATGTACTGTACAGAGGACATCCTGGTCTTTCCAGTGATATGTCATTGGGTAAAATTGCATGCTGGGAAGTTCCTCTTAAGTTTTGAAATAACAGCTCTTTTATGAATGTCCATCCTAGTGGACGTCAGGACCGTCTTCATGGACTTTATGACTCAATATTGTTGCAGGAGACGGAACTGAAGCAGACATTTTCTGTACCAGATAGTTCAGGGAGATTCAGATGTTGAGCTCTCAGATGATGAGAGAGATGAGGATTTCACACCTGGGATAGAAGAGGGTCAAGAAGAAGGGGGGGAAGATGCAGGAGGCTCCATGAGCGCACAGATACAGACAGAGAGACAGATAGGGACGAGCTGGAAAGACATGGCCCTCTGTGGGCCAAGAGTAGCACGTATGTCTTATTGTTGTTTTTATTTTAAGTGGAGCCATGGAAAATGAGAATTGCTTCAGGAATGCAAGCTATGTTTCTATGAGCATGGTCAAATGGAGACCACATCCATAAAACTAGTCAAGATGACCCTACAGCCCGTGCAGACTGGAGTCAATGAGGTACTTTTCCCAGTACATTAGGTGCGTTCACACCGGAGTACTTTGGTGTACTTTTCCCACAATAGTTCATCAGAACTACGATATATTTGCGTTCACACCAAAAAGCCCCAGGAACTAAAGTAGCTCAACTTAGTTCGCGAGACTCGCTTTTCAGTCCCTGCTACAGAGCAGGGTCTGTCGTGGGAGAAAGTAGTTCCTACGTCTGATTGGCTGTGCGGAATGCAAACCACACCCGTTTGACTCCGAATTTTTTGTTGTAAGCGGCCATTGTATTTCCTTGCTTCGCAGCACACACACGAAGAGATTCCTTTTGTGAAAGCAGTTATTATAGCAACACTAAATAAATCAATTGGAGCGGTGGAGTGATGAGGATGAGGATGTGTCTGCGCTTCTGGCGATTGACTCGGAGGACGCGAAGCGCCACATTCAGAAGCTTCGACTGAATGCAGTTTATGTGGCTCTGCAAAGTTAGCAGACCTGGCAAAGTCATGTCGGGACGACTACCAAGGTAAAATATAATACATGCACTGCACTGTTTTAATCTGCACAATACTGGTCTTAGATGTACTTTTATTTGCTCAGTAGATCGAGCTAGCCATGGTAGAACTTGCTAACGTTAGGTCCAAGCTGGATAATAACATCTAGCTAGCTAGCTATTCTCAGCCGTGCCCGCTATGAACACGTTTTGACTTGTGAATAAGTGTGCAATGTTCTGTAATTTGCTTCACTAACTCATGGCACTAATCGTGTGTTTCAGGCGAGGTGTTTCTCTCAGGATTAGAAACTAGTTTTCCCCTCCGGGATAAAACGATAATATAACGTTAGCAATTAGCATGCTAGCTGGACCTCTGTGGCTACACTGAGGTAAACAATAGATTGTAGTTGCTCTAATTTCAAGTAATTTGCAACATTCATTCTACATGTTAATGGTAAAAGCTTAAACAGTTGATTACCTGCATGCCACAAAGACTGATGTTCTAATATTTTTGCACATTTAAGTAGAAATGTAATTGAAATTCTATTTACTGCCTAAACATTGTTCCTTGTATTATCCTAAATAGTTTGACCTTGTTTCCTCAGAAGGCTTCTCAGACTACATGGAGGATCCCTCAGAGAAACACAGTTTCCACGTTCAGTTCCCCCCCGCTGAGAGTAGGCAGCTCCACACCCTGTGCCCGGTCCATCCTGACCGCTGCTGCCATACTGCAGCAAACAGGAGGGAACGGAGGTGAAAACACACTTTATACATTTAGATATGTGGAGCACAAAGAAAAGCATTGCTAAAAAACATTTAGCAGCTAAACTGTGGATAACAAGTAAACCACATTGGTTTGTTATTCAATATTCAAAAGCTTTTTGAATCATTACATGTCACTTGTTAGACGCTTTTATCCAAAGCTTACATACTCAATACTGTGGGCAATCCCCACAGGAGCACTTTGGGGTGAAGTGTCTCAGGGACACAACGACATGCTGACTGCAGTGGGGTTTGAACCTGCGCTCCCCTGATCCGAACACCAATGCACTTATCCACTGCGCCACACACCTCCATCCTTTACTCAAGTAGAAGTACAGATACTCGTGTTTGAAATACTCTGGTAAAACTTCTTAAGTAAAAGTAAAGAGGGCTTTGAAATGTAGTTAAGTAAAAAGTACCCATAACTAGCAGCTGTTTTAAAGAGTACCTGAGCTCCCTTTATATTAATAGAACAATAATGTCATTGTTAGCTAATGAATGTTTCCATGCTGAACAACGGCAACATGACAACGTTTTCATTGGTCCCTCTTCTTTAGAGAAGACCAGGAAATGATGGATACACGGATCGTGTTCAAATCAATAGGCACGCAATGACTCTAGTTTGAATGTGTGTTTGGTGGCGTGATCATTATTATTTAAAGTAACCAGCCTGTTTGGAAAATGTAAGAAGTAGAAAGTACAGGTATTTGTGTTCAAAATGTAAGAAGTAGAAAGTACAGGTATTTGTGTTCAAAATGTAAGAAGTAGAAGTAAAAAGTGATCAGAAAAATAAGTAGTGGAATGTACTTAAGTACAGTAACGAGGTATTTGTACTCCGCTACTTCCTACCTCTGACCAACGAGTATCTCTATATTCAGAGCACCCAGTATAAGACGGTGGAGCGGGTGGTGCAGACTCTGAAGAACCTGTGCTGTGCTCTGGACGAGACGGAGACCCAGGCCATCACTGAGGCCGTCAAAAGGCTGAAACACTCCGTCAACTTACCCCAGACACGCTCCCCCAAGGTGGGCTAACACTCTGCTTCACACGTTCATACAGAGCGTTGTTTACATGTTAGGAAGTGTTTGTAAGATCAACTTGTTTTGCTTTGCAGATGGGGTCCACATCGTCTGGTCAATCGTCAAATGGTACGTACACACAGTCACACTCCACCTCCACTTATTTAATTTAAATGTGATTGTTGCAGCTTATCATGTCAATGTGGTGCAAAGATGCATTACAGACAGAAATAACTTTTAAATAAAGTCACTGTCAAGTGTCTAAGGCTATTTAAAGACTATGTGGCTTATTCTATTACGGTATGAATCATTCAAAGCTTCATAGCATCATTAATGCTTGCATTAAAATTGTAAAACGTTTAATTTGTATCTATTTGTCCCTATCATGTCCTGAGAGCCCTCCATCCCCCAATTGCTAGTGCCTTCACCATTTAAAATGTTAATAGTCAAATCAAAGGTGTTCCCTGTGTTCCTCCTGTTGTGTGCCTGCAGAGACAGATTTGGACAATGTTGTGTCGTTGTTGCGATTAAACTGATCTTGTATCTTGCATATTTCACCTTAGGAAGGTGGGCACGCGATGACAGCTTCCTTGACACCATCATGGCGATGGCCCGCCGTGCCATGGTCAGCAAGGAGAATGAGGACCTGCGTGCCAAGGAGATGCACGACGAACGGCTGCTGCATTCACACAAGGCCCAGGAATCGAGGTGGAGCAACAAAATACCTTTCTGGCTGGGCTTCTGGCAGTGCTAAGCGAGCTGATTAAATCCAACAGGCCTTCAATACAAAAATTAAGAAAAACTTGTCGTTGATAAACTGTACAATGACTTGTTGGGAGGCGTGTGATGCAGTGGTCTGGTGCGTTGGTGTTCGGATCAGGGGAGCACAGGTTCAAACCCCACTGCAGTCAGGATGTCGTTGTGTCCCTGGGCAAGACACTTCACCCCAAATTGCCTACACCTGGGACAGTTAATTTTGTATTATTGTGATTATATATATATTGCCACTGTTATTATATTGTTTTGATACTACTGACACTTATTGATCTGCTTCTGATAAATAAAAGAGAACCTACATGCACGGCACTAGCATCATGACTGTCTTTGTTTAAACCAGCAGCAGTGCAGCGGTACACAGACTAACCTGTGTGTGTGTGTGTGTGTAACATAGTTCTTCAGATGTGTATGCTTAACATGTATGTATTTATCACAGTAAAGATGGTATACAAAAGCTTTTTAAAGAGCTTTCAACCTCATCCCATTGTCTTTAACACACATTTAACATAATAATATACTCATATTAATATACAAATATACAGAATGAGTACTGTTTTGATACTGACATTTAATCTTTGCACAAAGGTGTGTCTGCATTATTGTAATTGTGTCTGTTGACTGTGGTAAATAAAAGAGAGAACCAAATGCACAGTACAAAAGATCAGCTTTATTGTCAATTTACAATTTCCATGCTGTTCAGATGCCTCAAGGGCTGTGCGCGTGTCTTGCCCTGTGGCGATTTGTTTAGGTTGCGTCTCCCCAATGGTTGCTTCCAGGCGAATACAGAGGAGTTGAAAAGATCCACTTTGATCCACTGCACATTGGTGTGCACCAGGCCGAGGTTCTATTGTTCACCCAGAGAGAGCGCGGGACACGACGCGTTCCGTAGTATTCGCATATCTGGAATACATACAAAGACACAAATTAGCCCTACATAACTCCATAAATCCTACATTAGATAGTATTAATGTGATTTAATGAACGTACCATTGCTGTTCTTTGGGCGTGATAACGGTCATCATCCTCAGCTATCGAAACATGTCCATAGCGTGTGCTTTTCGTGGTCCAATCCTTTTGTTAAGGCTTCTTAACCGCCTTCGCCTCCGACTCAGCATTTCTATTGCATTTGAATGGTCGATCTGTATTTTTATTTGTGGCTGAGTTATTGGCTTAAATAACTCAGTTACGAAGCTGTATAACACGAGCACCAAAACGTCAACTCCATACCGTGTCTGAGGTCGGAAGGTAAACAGAAGCATACAGCGGAAGCGGAAGCTTTTCTTCTTCTTCTCTCGGTTTTTTGGCGGATTGCAACTTTAAGGTGCATACCGCCACCTACTGTACTCGCCGTGAAGTTGTTTGCAGCCTGCCAGGAAAATCTAAGCAGAAGAAGAAGAAGTGACGTCAGCGGCTCATTTGCCTAATCCACCCCCAGGAACTCATTTTGGTGTGAACGCGATCTGCTTTAGTTCGTCAGAACTAAAAGAACTCTCATGAACTAAAGTTCTCAGGAACTACTGTGGGAAAAGTACTTGGTGTGAACGCGGCTATTGACTACAAAGTCTTTGAAGATCTGGAAAGATTCACCAAAAACCAAACTAGTTTTTTAGTGACCAAATAAACAGCAATGTTCAGATCAATGACTTATTCATGTTTTAAATAAAGGTGAATGTATTATTGTATTAATATCACTCTATAACCATAATACATTACATAGTCTATCTGTTAATTTTGGCTGTCTTTTCAAAATAATATGGTCCCGATGTCCTCTACAGTGGACATACTGTAACATTTAAAAATAAAATAAAAAAAGTCTAAATTGCAAGATGTTTCTTTAACCCTAAATAGGTAGGAAATCACAAAAAAAAAGGAAATTGGAAGACACTTTTTTTCCTCGGGTCCCAGGACGATAAATAATAGCATACTTACCCTTCCAGCAGAAATAAGGCAACACTGGATTTCTGTGCTGCAACCTTTATCAGGATCTGGGCATGCGGATCAGGGGCCTCATTTATAACGCCTTGCGTAGGATTGACTTGGGAAGGTTGCTTACGTAGTACAAAGCAAAAAAATAGGCACTTCCTACGCCTGTTTCCCTTTCTAAATCACAATCGACTCGTAACACCCATATTTGCCTATAAATAGTCAAAGAAACGCCCATTCATTCATTCTGACTGACTGCATGAAGAAGATCGCAGGAAATGAGGACAGAACAGCTAAAAAAGACATCTCACACCGTGTCAGATTTTGGTTATTTTGGGGAGGTCGAGATAAATCATATTGTTTGGTGGATGCAGTTTGAACCAGAGTAGCAGCATGGAGGTCAGATCGTCACCAAAATAAATAAATAAGTGGTCCGAAAAAAGTTAATGACAAAAAAAATACACATAACCTTCCTCAGGCAGTGTGTTTGTCCCGGGGACAGGAGACACCCCCTTGATGAGAAACTGTAAGAAATGATCGGGGAATCCCTCCGGAGTGGAGTCATGACGACTGGATCTGAATTATTTTGTTGTATTTGGTGGTTTGTGTTCCAGCTGTCGATCAGCAACTATATCTCCATAATCCACCAGTTAAAGGAAAAACAACTAATGTGTTGTGTTATATTAGCTGTACAATTTACCACGGTGTTCTTAGTTTCCATACCTCCTGTGTTTTACGAGCCACTAATCAAGTCTTGGCAAACGGCATAAAACACGATTAAACGTGATAGTATATAAAACCATGCTCGTATCTACAACCTATAGAAATGCAAAACGGCGTCAGTTTAGACGTAATTCTGTCCTCCTGCTTACCGCATCATTTATGAGAATACATGTCATAACATTAACACAACATATTCGAGGTGGTTTTAAATAACATCCGTATTTATTTATTTCTCCAAGTTATGTTTTTGTGTGCACTGAGGAGTCTCAAACAGGCGTTTGTTTAATCATTTTAAGATTGGCTTTAATCAATGTTTGAAAATGAATTCTTCATATTTGATAAATGAGAGGTAACATTTTATTGATTATTTCCACATATTTCTCTCCATTCTTCCTTCTGCCAACGGTGTCGCAGTTTCTCGTCTCTCCCGTTTGTGTGCTTAGTGCGTACGCATGGGTTAGAGTTTGCGTGGAGGACCGCACATTTTCCCGTCAAGTTAGAATTGTATAAATCGCAAACATTGCGTAGAAACTGGCGTACGCCATTTTTTGAGCGTATATCCCTTTATAAATGAGGCCCCAGAACATCCTGGTGCTCTTCAATACTTTTCAAAGCATTACAATCTTCCAAAACGGGAGGTTTTTGTTGTGCGGAATATATATCTGTGTCAACATTCCACATAGCGTTTTTTGAAAACAGTGAAAAGGAAGGTACCTACTTGATGTCTTACTCTGTTTGATGCCTTTGAAATGTTATCATTTTTCAACTTAAAGTGGACCTATCATGCTATATTTAAATGATATATTGTAGGGCCATACCTATATAAGGTATATTTATACGTTTCTGTTTTCAAAATACCAAACAGATCATGCATTTTAGCCATGCCTCATTTAGCTCTATGTGCTGTTCTCCAGCACTGTTTTTGCAGGGGGCTGATTCTGTGAGCTGCAGCTGACCACGCCCCCTTGCAGGAGAGGGGAGCGCGCTCTGAACAGCTGCTGGGCTGTCAGAAGAGGGGGAGAAAAATAGATCTCCGTCTTCCGTGTTTTATTATATAGAGTCGTTATTCATTTGTTTTAAAGCTCAATAAATAACAAAGAAGACCTTTGACCGGCACTTTTCTAATTTTGTCCGGAAGATTTAAACTTTAACGGACATCTTGACCGGCGAAAGAAACTGAAACTCTGCCGCACGGTCCCCTCGTTCCTTGGAAGAGGCGGAGAGGCGGGTGTTTGTCATCTGCTGGTGGACTAACCGGAGAGAATTACAGTGCTTGCCTCGACGGGGAGGGATTGCATTGAAATTTGGATCAGTTTTTATCAGATCCGTTGCAGCCCCTTTTTTAGAGATTTGGGTATGGAGGAAAATAGAGAGGGTTGTGTTTTCTGACACTTGGTGAGTTCCCTGGAACACCGGGGACACATATTCATGTATACAAGACGTACAAAAGTGCATTTTGCATGATAGGTCCCCTTTAAAGTACAACATTATTTGCATTAACATTTAGTTAAAGTACCAAAAGTAGAAGAAGTCTTTATGCAAATTGGCACATTACAGAACAATATATATTATATATTTTCATTATAGTTATTGATGCATTTAAGTGTTGTAGGAGCCATTTTATGGGTGTTGTTGGCATGTCAGTTTTTTTAATTTATATTTATAGTGCAATATTATTTTTGAACACTTGGTGGCGGGGGTTAGCTACACAAAAACAAAGTTGCCATTACAAGTGTTCAAAAAGCTTGTAAAAGGTGCAGCTAGTTTGAATTACTTAGTATGATTGTGGAAGTTACTCCAAGTGTAAATAAAGTATTATTTAAGTGATGTTTATCCCTTAAATCCGTCATACAAATCTGCAAAGTATCTTGCTATTAAATAAATGTGATAAAAGTACAATATTTACCTCTGAATTGTAGTGGGGTTGAAGTACAAAGTAGCACAAAAGGATATACTCAAGTAAAGTACAAGCCCCTCAAAATTGTACTTAAGTACTGTACAGTACTTGCAAATGTA